ATATGCGGGAATAACCGCCCATCCTGAAAAACGATGCCCACCTGCCGCTGCCATGGTGGCAACTGAATGCCTTGCTTTGAATCAAACCATCTCTGCTGATGACTTTGAATCAAGCCACCGGCAGGCATTAACAGCCCGGCCAGGCTATGCAGCAAAGTCGTCTTGCCGGAGCCTGAGGCGCCCATGATACCCAGGCAATTGCCAGGTTTTAAATCAAACTTAGCATCTAACACAAACGCTGGTTCTGTTGCCGCGACCGCATAAGGCTGCCTGATCTGGATATCGACTTGTAGCATCAGCGTTGGCTCCTGATCAGCCGTCTTTCCAGCCATTGGCTGGCAAGCAAAGCAAACACAGACACCAGCACACTGAGGATCACCAGCCTGAGCGCCGCGGCGTCGCCTTCTGGCGTTTGCGTCAGACTGTAGATGGCCAGCGGCAAGGTGCGCGTTTCGCCTTCGAGATTGCCAGCAAAAGTAATGGTGGCGCCAAACTCGCCCAGGCTACGGCTAAATGCCAGAATCGCGCCCGTGAGCAAGCCATGGTAGGACAAGGGCAATGTGATGGTAAAAAATACTTTTACAGGCGAAGCACCCAGCGTTTGTGCGGCTTGTTCCAATAAGGGATTGACCTGATACAAGGCCTGGCGGATGGCGCGCACCATCAAGGGAAACGCCATCACTGCCGAGGCAATCACGGCACCCCACCAGTGGAAAGTGAACTGGATATGGAACTGCTCATACAACCAGGCGCCGACCCACCCCCTGCGTCCAAGCAGCACCAGCAACATATACCCCAGCACCACCGGCGGCAAGACCATAGGCAAATGCACCAGCGCATCTAACAGCGACTGCCCCCAGAAACGCTTTTTGACTAACAACCAAGCCATCAGCATGGCAGGGATGAGCAAAATAACCACGCACCAAACGGCCACTTTCAGAGAAAGCAGTACGATAGCGAGTTCGGCTGGGGATAACGTCCACATAAATATTACGACCGCAACAGCTTAATCCAGTGGTTTGAACCCATATGTGCCGAGTAATTTCTTGGCTTCAGGTGTTTGCAGATATTGATAAAAAGCAGTGGTCGCCGAAGAAGCCTGTGGCAACAATGCCATAGGATAAACAATAGGTACATGACTGTTTTCCGGGAACTCGCCAGCCAGCTTCACCTTGCTGGAAGATTGCGCGTCACTGGCGTAAACGATACCGACATCACACTCATCACGTTCAACCAGATTCAAGGTGGCCCGGACATCCTGTGTGCTGACCAGACGACCTTTGAGTTTTTCCCACCAGCCCAGGCTGGTCAACGACTGTTTGGCATAGATACCGACTGGCACTGACAGTGTATCCCCAGTGCACCAGTAACCAGGCGCCTGCTGATTCACATCTGCGGCTGCTTCAGTCTTGATATTTAATGGTTTGGCCAATGGCGTGATCAGCACCAGGCGATTACTCAGCCATGGCTTGATGGTCGCGGTTTGCACCAACTGCTTGTCTTTCAGGTATTGCATCCATTTTTCATCGGCAGAAATGAATAAGTCTCCTGGTGCGCCTTGTTCCAGCTGTTTGGCCAACGTGCCAGAGCCACCATATACCGGCACGATTTGCACCCCTGCTTGCTGGCTATATTGCTTGGCCAACACGTTCATCACGTCAGTCAGGCTTGCGGCGGCAAATACCTTGACCTTGCCTTCTTCTGCTTGCACCAATCCACCGACCATGCACAGGCTGACCAACAACAACTTACTTGCGCCCGCTAGGTAAAGCCCACCCCATTTTTTCATGTTTCCATTCCAGTCAATTGATTAAGAACCGAGGTCTGACAACAAATCGTCATAAAAGAATGATGCTATCATCGTTATATCCATATGCGCATTACGAAAACCAAAAAAATTACATTTTTTTCAAATGTCTGGTGATCAGGTCCAACTCATCCATTGCCGCCTGTGCCGATTTCTGCAGAATCTGCTGGTAAGCTTGTATGAGTGATTTGCCAAATGCCGTCACCTGCGCGCCACCGCCATGGGTGCCGCCTGTGGTACTCAGCACCACCGCCTGATCAAAACAGCGATTCATCACATCCACCAGCTCCCAGGCACGGCGGTATGACATCTGCATCTGCTTGGCTGCGGCTGAAATCGACCCATGCTGTTCTATCATCTGCAACAGTTCGATTTTTCCCGGCCCCAGCGCAGTATTACCTTCATGGTTGATTCGGATTTTGAGTAAAGTTGGCGACATCAATCTATTATTCCAGCGGGATTTCGGCTTGTGCAAATGCTTCAAATGGCGGCAGTTCTGCCAATGAGCGCAGATTCAAGTCATCCAGAAAATGTTTGGTCGTTGCGTATAACGATGGCCGGCCAGGCACCTCGCGTTGCCCAACCACATCTATCCAGTCACGCTCCTGCAACTGGCGGATCACATTCGGATTCACGGCCACGCCGCGAATCTGCTCAATATCACCTCTGGTGACTGGCTGCCGATAGGCAATGATCGCCAGCGTTTCCATCACTGCGCGTGAGTATTTCGGCTGCCGTTCAGGATTAAGGCGAGAAAGGTATTCGCTGTACTCCGCCTTGGCCTGAAAGCGGTAGCCACTGGCCACCTGTACCAGGTCCAGCGTTCTACCCAACCAGTCTGTTTTCAGCTCATCCAGCAGCATGCGCAAGGTTGCCCGCTCCATGCGGCCAGCAAACAGTTTCAGCAAATCATCCAGCGCCAGTGCCTGCGGCGAAGTGAGCAGGGCTGCCTCTAAAATCTGCTTCATTTCCTGGATATTCTCCGGGTCACGCATTATGAGGCCTCCTCACTATAAGCGTGCGCCTGCACATAAATCGTCCCGAACGCTTCCTGTTGCGTAATGCGGATCAGGCCTTCTTTTGCCAGTTCCAGCATCGCCAGGAAACTCACGACTAATTTGGGAATGCCATCGCTCTCAAGATCAAACAGCTCATCAAAGCGGAGCACGGTTGCTGTGCTTAACCTACGCAATAACAGGCTCATATGTTCACGCACCGAAAGTTCGGCCCGGCCCAGCTTGTGATGCTGGTTTAATTTAGCGCGTTTGAGCACATTGCGCCAGGCCTCCACCAGGTCATCTAGGCTGACTTCCGGTGGCTTGACCTGGCTGATATGCTGGTAATAAGCGGCAGCGACATCAATCTCTTCGCCCACTTTAGGCAAGGCATCCAGGCGTTGCGCGGCCAGCTTGATGGCTTCATATTCCATCAGGCGCCTGACCAGCTCTGCGCGCGGGTCGTCTTCCTCTTCGACTTCGGTGGGTTTCGGCAGCAGCATGCGTGATTTGATTTCAATCAGCATGGCTGCCATCAACAGGTAGTCAGCCGCCAGCTCGAGCTTGATGGCTTTCATCTTTTCGACGTAAGCCATGTATTGCGCCGTCAGCCGCGCCATCTGGATATCAAGGATATCCAGGTTATGCTTGCGGATCAGGTAGAGCAATAAATCCAGCGGGCCTTCAAAGGTATCTAGGTAAACTTCCAGCGCATCCGGCGGAATATACAAGTCTTGCGGCAGCTCGGAGAGCGCTTCACCATTGATTTTGACCTGGCTTTGTTCCGGGATATCCATACTGGGGATTGTAACGATTTGCGCGTGCAGATTAAAGGCTATTCGGCATAAGGGTTGTCAAAGCCCAGTTTTTGCATGACTGCCATCTCCATGGCTTCCATCAAATCGGCTTGCGCATCTACTTCATGGTCATAGCCATGCAGGTGCAACACGCCATGCACTGTCATATGCGCATAATGCGCCAGCAAGGGTTTGCCCTGTTCACTTGCCTCTTTCGCCACCACCGGGGCACAGATCACAATATCGCCCATCAATTGCGGCTCTTCGGTTAATGGAAACGTCAGCACATTGGTCGCGTAATCCCTGCCACGATAATTCGCATTCAGCAAACGCCCCTCCTCAGCATCCACAATACGGATGGTGACACTGGTATCCACCCGCAATGCGGCACGCACCCAGCGCCTGAAAGCTGCCTCGGTTGGCAGGTTGTTTTCTTCTGAGGCGAGTTGCAGGGAAAAATCTAATTGCGGCATACGGTCAAGTTTTCTGAAAAATATCCGTCATTATAAGAAGAAAACCCTTAAAGGAAACCGTGGGATGTCGAATCGGCCGAAACTGGTGGTTGCCAATCGCAAAATGCATGGCAACGTACCGGATAATCATCAATTCATGCAAAGCCTGTTGCAGCAAACGCAGCATCACCAGGCGCGCTACGCCGTGTGCCCGCCACATCCATACCTTTACCAGGCGCAACATATCCTGCAAAACAGCCATATCGCCTGGGGCGGGCAAAACATGAGCCGCTTTGAGAAAGGCGCTTATACCGGCTCGGTTTCTCCCGTCATGCTGAAAGAGTTTGGTTGCACCTACGTAATCATTGGCCATTCAGAACGCAGGCAGCGCGGCCATGATAGCGATGAAAGCTGCGGTGAACGGTTTGAAGCAGCAATCAAAGCCGGGCTTACGCCCATCTTGTGTATAGGTGAAACGCTGGAGGAATATGAACAGGGCGAAACCGATCTGGTGGTCGTACGCCAGTTAAATCCGGTGATCGCACATGTCGGTATCCAGGCACTCTCGCAGGGCGTGATTGCCTATGAACCGGTATGGGCGATTGGATCTGGCAAAGCGGCTACACCGCAACATGTGCAGGCTATCTTGTCATTTATCCGTGGCCATATTGGCTTGCTGGATGAGCAGGTCGCAGAAAAGATTGATTTGCTTTATGGTGGCAGTGTGAACCCGGGCAATGCAGCGCAATTACTGAGTATGCCCGATGTGGATGGTGGCCTGATCGGTGGCGCATCATTGATCGCTGAAGACTTCATCCGCATCTGCCAGATAGCCAATGAACTCACTGAACTGAAAACCGCAGCTTAATGGTGAGTACGAACAGGCAATAAAAAAAGCCGACTTGCGTCGGCTTTTTTTATAACCAGGTAATCCAGATTACTGTCTGAATTACTTAGCTTCTTCAGCAGGAGCAGCTTCAGCTGGTGCAGCTTCAGCAGGAGCAGCTTCAGCAGGAGCAGCTTCAACTGGTGTTTCAGCAGCTGGTGTTTCAGCAGCTGGAGCTTCAGCAGCAGGAGCTTCAACAGCAGGAGCCTCTTCAGCTGGTTTTTCACCACAAGCGGTCAAAGCCAAAGCCAACAATGCAGCCAACAATGCAGAACGTGTCATCTTTATTTCCTTAGTATGTATGAGCAAAATTTTGTGTACGGCACAATTCTATATCCAAGAACCCGCCGAGTGGAAAAATTGTATCAGTAATTTATTAAAAAAAGAATGTAAGTGCAATTAAAAACACAGGATTTTTTTGTATAAGAACAACAACTCTGCATTTTTTGACAAAAATCGGCTATAAATGGTTCAAATCAGCGCTGCCAAGCTCACATTTCATCCAAATGCAGATACCCAAGCAGATACATCTCAAGTAACCAGGGCAGTAAATGAATACTACTTTCAGCCTGGAAAAATGATGCGTCCAGTTGTCGCTGGTTAGCCAATGTATTGAGTAAATGCTTTGCTTCCGGCGCTACATGTACCACTTCCCCATTGATAAAATACTGCCCCTGCCAGTGCAGCATTTGCGTTTGCAGGTCTAGTGCAATGCCCTGAGCACGCGCGGCATCGGTAAATTTTGCCTGGTTGAGCTTACGGTTTGGTGTAAAAACCACATAAGCTTTGGGCTCAGTAAAATAGCGCGCCAGGAAAGGCCCCAGCGCATCAGGCTGCCAGGTCAACCGTTGCAGCATGCGGCTGACCCGCTCCACCATCGCCTGGTCGATCGCCGCAGCATCGCTGACAGGCTGCAATTCAGGGTCCTGGTATAGCTCATCTGGCAAGCTTTCTTGCCTGCACGCATCGAGAAACTCCACCGCCAACTCCCTGGCCGCTGGTGCGCGAAAGCCGATAGAATAAGTCATGCAGTCATCATCTTCTGCCACCCCCCAATGCGCCACATTCGGCGGCAGGTATAGCATATCACCGGGTTCCAGCACCCATTCCTGCTCACTGACAAAATGGGAAAGGATGCGTAAAGGTGCATCCGCAATCAGGCGCGTATCTTGTTGCTGGCTGATAGACCAGCGGCGCTTGCCCGCCCCTTGCAAAAGAAACACATCATAACTGTCTAGGTGCGGCCCAACGCCGCCGCCGGTCGGTGCGTAACTGACCATGACATCATCCAGCCTGGCCGTTGGAATAAAGTCAAAGTTGGTTAACAAAGCCTGCGCTTCTGGCAACAGGTGATTCAGGCCTTGCACCAATAGCGTCCAGTGCTGCGCCGGCAAGCCGGCAAAGTCTTCTTCATCAAACGGGCCCTGCGTGACTTGCCAGCCTGCACCCTCTTGCGCATGGGCGGGATCATACTGGATCAGGCGCGAGGGCACTTCTGTTTCACACGCCAACCCTGCCAGCTCATCCGGCGTCAGCAATCCTTTAAAATCAGGGATGGCACCACGGATCAATAATGGTTTTTTTTGCCAGTATTCCGCCATAAATTGAGCTGGCGTCAGGCCATTAAGTAAAGTCAGTGCTTGTTGCATGAATAGTTTTTATCTAAAAGGGAGGAAAGGCGTAGTCGTAATGCTTTGCGTCAAGCGGGAAATAAAGCGTTGCGACTTCTCCGCCAGCATCAAAGCCAGTAAATCAGTGCGCGCAATCAGTTTGGTGAACTCACGTTCAAAACTCAGGTTCTGGCCATCCGCCTGTATGCTGTTGGTGAGCAATAATAGCTCACCGCGTGCATTTTTGGCGGTGCCCAGCTTCCAGACGGCGATTTCCACATTACGCGCCGCATTGTACAAGTTTTGTGGCTCTATGCTATCAATGAGGAAAAATGCGGATTTATTGCCGTGCGCGCGGTATAACATTGATTGCAATCCGACAATCAGTGCCAGCACGCGGTCACCACTAAATTGCGGGTTCAACGCCAGTTTAATCGCTGCTGTATCTTGGGCGCCGCCCAACGCTTCAAATTTCCACTGATGCGTACTGACTTGCTCAAACACCTGGGTAGCGATTTGGTCCGCTGTTCCCAGACCAGACTTTTGCGCTTCGGCAGGATTTCGTTTGTATAACTTGAGCATTAACAGGCGCAAGCTGGCGACATTTTCGGCGTATTCAATATCCGCCAAGCGGTCGGTATCGGTTTTAACTAACTGATGCAAGGTGTTGCGGTCTTGCCGCATCGGCACTGGTGTGCCATTTGGTGAATCCACATAGCCGCCACTGGGATTAGTACTACAGGCGGCAAGCAACAACATGCTCATCCAGCTGCAGCCGCGCCATCTCATGCCACAAGCACCCTTTGCGCTGGGAATACAATACTGAAACGGCTGCCCGCCCCTGGTTCACTTTCAACTTTCAGGATCGCCTGGTGATGATGCAGGATATGCTTCACAATCGACAGGCCAAGGCCAGTGCCACCGGTGTCCCTGCTGCGCCCGCTATCCACGCGGTAAAAACGCTCAGTCAGCCTGGGCAAGTGCTGAGACTCAATACCGATGCCGGTATCCTGCACACTGAATATCACTTGGTCCTCCTGCATCTGCCAGAAGATATCTATCTTGCCATTTTCCGGCGTATAACGCACAGCGTTACTGGTCAGGTTGCTCATGGCGCTCAGCAATTCATTATAGCTGCCGCGAATATTCACTTTGGCATCCATGTGCAATGTCACGGTGTGCTCGCCTTGACTCAACGCCCTGGCATCTTTAAGTAACTGGTTTAGCAGTGGTTCCATGGCAATATCTGTTTCATCCTTGAGCAGGACATTATTTTCCAGACTGGATAGTGTCAGCAAATCCTCAATAATGCGTCGCATACGGGTGGTTTGCGATTGCATCATGTCAAAGTAAGGTTGAATGTCAGGCGAGACTTCGCCTTGCATATCGCTGATGGTTTCCAGAAAGCCCCCAACCACTGTCAACGGCGTGCGTAACTCATGCGACACATTGGCAATAAAATCCCTGCGCATGATTTCTGTTTTTTCTATGGCAGAGATATCGCGGCAAATCAGCAAGCGCTGCTTACTGGCAAAGGGAATAATCTGTAATTCGAGTGACACATCCGGGCTGCGCCAGGATTTAAGTTTAAGCGGTTCACTGTAATCTTCGCGCTGCAGGTACTGCACGAACTCGGCCTGTCGCAATAAATAATAGATAGGCTGATTTTCATCATGCTGGCGCTTGAGGCCCAAGCGTTGCACTGCCGGTTCATTAAACCATTCGATCTCGTTGCGGTGATTGAGCACCACCACGCCATCCGGCAATGCGCTGGTCGCGTGACGTAACCTTTCCAAGGTGCTGCTTAGCTGGCTCTGGCTACGCGAATGTCGGCGCATTTCCTGGTAGAGGTTTGCAAAGATATCTTCCCAGATCCCTTTGCCATTGGGCATGAAATTAAGGCCGGGTTTGAGTGACCATTGATAGAGTCTATGCATCCAGTAAAGATGCCCGCCCAGGTAGGCAATAATACCCACGGTGTAAACCAGCCAGGCGGTCTCGGCAGTAGTTGCCCAACCCAGGATCAAGCAGCAGAATGCCCAGAAAACCAGTAGCCAGAACGCTTTCCAACGAATATCTTGCACAGGCAACACCCAAAATACAGATGGCTGGGATTATACGACACATCCGGGGCGGGATTGTGACGCGACTGCGAAGCTGCGGATTACTCCGTAGTCATAGGCGCACTTTTAGCATACGGCTTGGCCAGCGGCTCGCCTACGAACAAGCCTTGCATCGGCCATTTCACACTTTTCCAGTAAGACTCTACCAGCGTTTCGCCGGCCAGGTAATGCGCCATCACCACTTGCGGATTAGGGAATTTTTGCCAGTAATTACACGGCTCTGACACCGTGCCATAGCTGCCAGTGACACCCGCATCCAGCCAGCGGGTGGCCGGCATTTGAAAGCTGCTGGTCAGCAGGCCACCAAAAGAGGTCAGGTGATCGGCAATGGCGCCAGGCAGGTAATTATTGGTCAGCATGTAGTCAACCTGCGCTTGCCCGGTGAAGTAGAACATGACCGCCTGGCCTTTCTCAAGCGTTTCCTGGTTCAGCGTATGCAAGGTTAACCGTTTGGATTTGACTGTTATACCATCCGGCGGGAAAAATGGTTCGCGCGGCTTGGTGCGCGCAGCATCTTTGGTTTTCAGAAAGTAGCCATTGCCTTCATTCAGGCTGAACTCGCTCAATGTGCCGCGATCGATCAATGCTTTTGCCGCATCGACACTGGTAATCGGCAGCAACATGGACAGGCGTATATGATGATCTGCCCACGGACGCAGTGACGCACTATTAAAATAAGGGCTATCGCGGCCTGGATCACAGGTTTTTTTGCACTGCTCGAGATCCAGCCCCAGCGTAAGTGCGCCGGTCAGACTGTTGCACTGCACGGCAAATGGGGTTTTCCATACCAGTAGCAATACCTGCTGTTCGCCGAGCTTGGCTTCGATCTGGCTTTTCAGTGACTCAAATTCCGCCACGGAAAGGACATCTTTGCTTTGTCGTGGTAACTCGACACCAATCAGGTTTTCGGCCGGCACCTGGCGCGCCTGCATATAGTAACGGGCGACTTCTTCACTGAGTGCATCATTGACATTGTAAATAACCGCGACATCTTCGGGCTTGAGCAATGAGGGCCTGGTGCGTAATTGCCGGCTGATATCCGCTGCGCCAGCCAGCACTTCACTGATCATCAATACGCAAAACAGACACAGCCCAAGACTGAACAAACCCAATTTTCGATTAAAACACATCAATACTTGCCACTCCATTCAGGGTTATAAATATACAGTTCAGGCAGAACAAACCGCGTAAAATTCAATCATATCCCAGATTACTTTATATACCAGAGACATTGATTCAAGGAGCTGCATGCAATGACCACCTCTAAAACGATTTTGATTACTGGCGCTAACCGTGGTATCGGGCTGGAATACGTCAGGCAATATGCGCAGGCAGGTGATACGGTGTATGCGACCGTGCGCGATGTAGCCAGCGCTGATGATCTGCAAGCGCTGGCAGCAAGGCATGCAGACGTGCATGTGCTGTCACTGGATGTCGCGGATATTGCCGCTATCCGCGCCCTGTCAACACAACTATCCGAGGTGACCATTGATATCCTGATCAGCAATGCGGGCATTTATCCACCCAGCCGCTTAGGCACGACGGACCC